CCTCCCACCTATCCCCTCCTCCCACCTCAAGCCCCACCCACATCTCCTACCTACTAACCTCATCCCGCCCCCTTGACCTGTCCGTCCTCCCTGGACTGACCTATCTCCTCCCTAACTCCCCACCTACACTCACCTTTACTGGCTCCATCCCCGCCTCTTTGACCTGTCTGTCTCCTCTCCACCTATCTTCTCCTCTATCCATCTTCTATCTGCCTCCCCCTCTCTCCCTATTTATTTCAGAACCCCCTTCCCCTCCCCCATTTCTGAAGAAGGGTCTAGGCCCAAAACGTCAGCCTTCCTACTTCTCTGATGCTGCTTGGCCTGCTGTGTTCATCCAGCTCTACACCTTGTTAACTCAGATTCTCCAGCATCTGCAGTTCCTACTATCTCTGAAACCATTTTAACCCCACTGCGAAGCCTCTTCTAAGGATGCCTACCCTGAAGAAATTACCCTCTTTCCTCCGGAAAAACCTCAGTGGATAGCATTTCTGAAGAAGGGTCTAGGCCCGAAACGTCAGCGTTCTCTGATGCTGCTTGGCCTGCTGTGTTCATCCAGCTCTACACCTTGTTATCTGCAGTTCTGATTATCATGCAAAAAATGATACAGAGTTACTGAAGAGGATGCAGAGATGATTTATAAGAATGATATCAGAAATGCATAACAATGTATCATCAGGGTCTGTTTTCTTGAAAAAAGGTTGACAAGTGAACAATGGAGGTCTTTAAAATCATAAGAAGAATTTGATGAAGTGGATAGAGAGAGAATGTCTTCTCTTGTGTGGAAGTGTGTAACTAGAGGTGACTAACAGGCAGCCCAGGGTGATGGAGGGGCTGTGGTACAAATCCTGATACAGCGCGACTTACCTGGTTGCTGCTGAGTGCTTGTGAGGAGAGGGATGGAGGCTGGAGCAATGTAGGACAATTGTTGGACTTGGGTCTGGTGCCACAAGTTGAGCTGCTGTTATCAGAATGTAATTTAAAACCTTTTCACTATGTTGCAACTACCTCTGTAAGTAATGCTTATGCTTTCCTTTAATCCTCTTTGTGTAAGAACATTATATTTTTTACTCTAAGATTTGTACCTAAGATAGTGCCATTAAAAAGGCAGCAATTGTGAAATCTTTTCACTGTACTCCTATACCTCTGTATTGTAGTACAAGTGACAATAAAGGATATTCTAAAAAGTGATAGTCACCCAGCAATCTAATTTGGTAAAGAAATTTCTTCTGAATTCTCAAAAAGTTGGGAACTCAATACCCCAGGGAATGGCTGAAGCAAAGAGAATGGATGCATTTAAGGGGAAGGGGGAAGAAAACAGCGTAAGAAGGGTGTAGATGAATAGGTGAGGAATCATGGAGGAGAATCAAATCCAGACAAGAATTGGTTGAGCTGAATGGCTTGTTTTTATGCTTATATATCATACGTAATCCCCATCTACTGCTTTTTCACCCTCAAGTGGGATACCAGAACTGGACATGATACTTCATATGAGATCAAAGCAACGTTTTAAAAAGGTTGCTTGGCATCTGTTTATAAAGCCCAGTCTGACTGATTTTTCAACTTACCCTGCCATCTTCAATGATTTGTGTACATTATTTGAGTTTGCTTTGCTCCTGCACCTCCTTTGGAATTGTATCTTCCAAAAGTCAATATAGATCAATAAAAACAATGGTCCTAATACTCTGAGGAACCTCTCTAGAAAAATTCCTCTGGTCTGAAAAACGACTGCTCATCGTGACTCTGTTTCTTGTCACTTAAATCAAATTCTTATTATGCCACTACTGGATTTAATTTTGCTGCGCATACTTGTTATGTGACACTTTATCAAATCCTTTAAGAAATTCACCAACATCATTGCATTGTCTTAATTAACCTTTGTTACCTCGTCAAAAAAAAACTCAGTCAACTTGGTTAAATTTTCACTTTAAATCTATTCTGGCTTTCCTTAACTAATCCATTTATCTAAATAACCTGTCGCTTGGAGATGGCTGATAAGCTTTGAGGAATCAGGTGGCGAGTCATTCACTGCAGAACTCCCAGTCTCTGATTTGCAGCATGCTTATGTAGCTTGTCCAATTATGCTTCTCATCATTAGTGACCCCAAAATGTTGGTGTAGCACTTGATATTCAACAGCATTTCAATTACTAAAGGTGATTTTTAAGAGTTTCTTGGAGATAATTATTGATGATAACTACTGTCACTTTAATGACCGAAAGCTAGATAAATGTGATTTTCAGTTGGATTTGCTTTGTTCTGCTTTTTGTACATAGGATATACCTGGTTTCTGCATTGTCAGATAGATACCAAGCTGTAACTGTAACGGGGACAGTTTGATTGGGGATATAGCTGGTTCTGGAACACAGGTCTTCTGCACTGCAGCCAGGATATTATCATAGCCAAAGTCTTTGCTGTATTCATTGTACTGTGGTGTTTTTATATTAGAAGGAGTGAATCAAATTGTCAAAGGACTAGAATCTAACATGTAGGAAATTCAGGAGGAGACCGATAGGTCATTCATTTGGCACTACTACCTGAAGATGGTTAGAAATGGTTAGAAATGCTTAGCTCTGCAGTGATATACTGGGCTCATTGAAGATGAGGATGGTTGTAGAGCATTCTCCTTGGATCATTTGTCCACCACCATTCAAGACTGAACATGGCACTGTAGTGATTAGATCTAGTCAGTCTGGTCGTGTTGTGGAATCCCTTCCCAAATCTATAGCATTACTGTTCAACATTTAGACAATCCTGTGCTGTACCTTCAGCAGATTAGAATCTCCATTGAGGTACATCTTGTGCTGCTCCTGGCATACTTTTCTGCACTCAGTGAGCTTGGGGATCAGCCTCAGTTCAATGAGAGCATGACGTATATATTGAGTCATGAGGTTACAGATTATGGCAAAATACAACTCAGATGCTGATCATCGTATGCCACACGGAAGTCCAGTTGTGAGATGCTACCTATTCTTAATATCTTGTACAAATTAGGAGCAGAAGTAGACCATTTGGCCTTCAGGTATGGTCACCATTCAGAGAGATCTGGTTAACCTGTTTGAGTTTCAAATTCCACAATCCCACCTACCCTCAATAACCTTCTGATTTTCCAACCTAACATATGCAAATAATGGATCTAACACTTGCAAAAGGGAGAAGTAGCTTTGGCTTTCATTGAGGCAGCCAGCACCAGTGTTGTTTGTACCTGCAAAATCCAATGCTAAATTGCATGAAATTAAGGCAAGTACTTAGTGTAAACAGCACTTTCTCTGGTATCATAATCTCCCACCTCATTCCCTACTCCAGACCCCAGAACCCAATGATCACCATACCCAGCCCACAATGCTCCTTCGGTCACAGGCCAAAGTCCAGCACTTCTTCATTTAAACTCCTCTTAAAGAGGTAGTAGATATGGTTTTTAAAATATTAAGGAGTTGAGGGCTAAAAGAAGGTAGCATGATAGCAGATTTGAGAACTAGGACAGATCTTTTTATGATCTTAGAGAAGGGTGGGCAGGTTTGAGGGGATAAATGTCAGTAAATCAAATCAAATGTTGTACTCTTGCTCCTATTTCTTACATTAAGACCTTATCTAATCATTTAGCTGAAAATGGGCACAGGAGTCAATGCAAGCCTCTCCTGCAGAACTATGTGATGGAGGTGCAAGACCCACATTATCAAGCCCTTGGACTTTCAAATTTGGATGCGAGTTAGAATTCTGTGGGCTCAATATCCAGAAATGAATGCTACTGAATTTTTGGCCAAGAGCGTTATAGTTCTGTTTGTAGGTTCAGGTTGAAAATGGTACTGCAAATTATTCCAAACCCAGTTGCAAGTCAGTGCAGAAAAATATAATTTATATAAGTTGTCAGTTTATTTTGGTTGATACTTATGAAGTTAATCCCTAGGCTAGAAGTGTCTGGAAAATGTCATCTCGAGGAAGATTAACAGCACATAAATGCAAAGTCTTTGTTAGAATAGAAAATCCTTATTATACACATCTAAATTTGTAATGTCAGATACAACTTGCTGTAACTGTAATTTGGAATCCATAACAATCAATCATTGAGCATTCTTGGGCTTGGTACAAGACAAATAGAACATTGATATAATGGCAATTCAGAATAATATTTTCTAGATCTCAGACTATCCTGGTAAATGTCTTATGAATGATGAACGACATACAGCCACCTCAAACCTGGCTAACTGTTCCCGAACGGCAATATAGAGGAGAAATGCATCAGGAATACGGGGTGCTTGGTGTGAGTTTAAGTGTCTTCCTTTTGTGATTTCAATGGTCAGTGTTATGTGAATGATAGAGGAAACCCATCTGTATTAGAAAACAAGAATGGGCAAATTGAAACATGGGCCAAGTAGCTGGATGCCATATGCAAGCTACTAACCATGGCAATTCAATTCCTCCTGCTGATAATTTCATCAAAAGTACATGGAAACAAAATCTGGCACAATTATTCTGTTTCCATTAAACTTATTGGCAGGTTCACCTTGATTGCAGTTGGGTTGGGGAAATTGAATTAATCAGTTCAGGAATTATCCTAGTTCCATCAGCCATCTGAGTGGATTAACCTAATGAAAGTTTGGGAGGTATTGTATAGGCCCTTGGCAGTAAGCACCATAAGTTTAAGGAAAGTATCTCTCCCCATGAAAAATCCAGGAATGAATAATAAACTCAATGTTTAACAAGTAAATGCGTTGCTTTGTGATTTGCCAGCAATTATCTTGTAAAGTGTGCAATACAGGTTGCAGTAATTTTCATGCAATTCACGTCTTCGACTAACATATGTACTGTACAAAATGGAACATGCAATTCACTGAAGGAAAAATAACCTGCAATTGAGTATCAGAGTATAGAAACTCTTAAGACAATTTAGCATTGTTACTAAACCAGATACTATTCTTTATTGTTTAAAAATATAGGTATTTTCTACAACATAGGAGATTTATCTGGGCATGGGGAGGATCACTGTCAATTTGTGGACTCATTCCTGGATGGTAGAACAGGGGAACATCTCCTTCCTGAACAATTGCCAATCAGACAAGGTGAACTGAATTCAATAATTGTAATTGCCTGATTATGATCCGTTAGCCCAGATTGCGCAATGTTTTAGTACGTGATTACATAGCGGAGATGAAAGCATTGCACTTATCTAGGAAAGTTATCGTACAAATTGAAATTAGTGGTTCACACTCCCTTAAAGATTGTTTTGCTGTGTTGCCACAGTTTCTGCTTCAAACTACAATCTTGAATTCAAACCAATGGTCACGTTCCTCAGTAGAGACAAATGCTACCAGTTAATTGTACTCTGTGTAAAAGTTCTAGAGTTTGTTATCTGAGGAATGCACAAGTCTCAGCCCTGTTTTGAGTAATATTCACAGGAAGGAATTGTAATGTTTGACCTGGCTCAGTTTTTGATCGTTTACAAGCAGAATCCTTTCATAGCCAAAGTTTTGAAAACATCAGATTACTGTAATTTTCTTTCCTTCACAACTTTACTCTCTTTCATTATTCCCTTTGTTCAATCTATTAAAGTTGCTTACAGGACATCTGGAATTTAGTTATCTGATGTATGGTTCAAAACCTGGAAACTAACAAGCCAGTTATACCAGAAAAAAAATGTTTCTAGTCCTGCAGAGACCTTTAGTACAACATAGACTAAAGGAAAAGTCTAGACTGCAACAATTGCATTTCATGTTTATCTTTACTGTGGTTTTAAGATGTTGGGCAGCCAAATACTCCTTGGCATTTGCACTGAAGACATCCCGTGGGTAACGCAATAGGGAGAGAAGTCCAATTTAACATTTCGTTGAAAAAGTGATGTTTCTAAATGTTCTCCATCGTGTCGGTTGAAGGGGAAACCGTGTACATTCAAAGTGCATGTATTACATTAAAACTATTGATAAAGAACAGGCTGCATAGATCCCAAGTTAGCCAGAATTGAGAAAATCATAACATTTAATACCATCAGTAACATGTTACTTTAAGTAAGACTGTTTTCTTGTAACTTGTAGGTTTTTACCGAAGTGTTCGCCAGGAGCCGGTTATGTTTGGTACAATAGGTGGACGAACACACATCAATTACGTCCATTGGTACGAGTGCGGTATAGCCATTCCTGGGCAATGGTGAATCTAACAACTGCCTTATGAAAAATCAAAGGAACTGAATCATTTTATATTCCACCAATATTGTTCCTTATATTCAGTGTAAGATTTAAATAGACCATGTAGTGTACAGGATGTTTTTTCTTTACTTTAAAGAAGCCATAAAGAAGTCTTTATGTAATGTGGTACAGGGTGAATTGTACCCATTCCAAGGCACATAATTGTAATTATTTACACAACCTAAAAAGCTTTAGAACAATGTGATCACCAAACTGGGCAGTAAAAAATAACATTAATAGAGTATTTCTAGCAATTTTCTGACCAACTTGCACTTATTTAAAACAATGTCAGATGACAAAAATAAGTGTTCCTTTCAGAAGATGCACTAGTGACCATTTAAAAATTTATGTAAACATCTAAATATATAAAGATAAGTTAGTGCTCACTACTCAAGCGTGGTGTAAATAAATGGTAGTACTGCCTAGTTTGTAACCATTAACAAGTCTGTCTTTGGTTTAAAAAGTCCTATAAAATGTGTTTTATTTATCAAAACATACATCCAAATTTTTTTTTTTAAAACACAGGTTTTGATATTGGGAAGCTGGCTCCCTATGCCCTCAGTTCTGAATATAATAGTTTAAATGTTATTTATCAGGAATGTATTTAAAAACACAGAACATAAATTGTAACTTCTATTCACAAAGTATAGAAGGGTTTTTTTTTTTTATTTAGATTTGCTGAACAATGAGCTTCAGCAACAGAATGGAGCAATTTCTCTTGCTGGGTATCCTTAAGCAGCCTGTAATATTACAAACTGTACCCAAAATGAAATTGTGTAGTGCAACTACGTATATGCCTTGTTTTTGTCCAAAAAAGTGTACTGAAGGTATCTGTGGACAAAAAAACTCTTGATTCTGTTTGTTAAGTTGATCATACATTACTTTATTCAGTACTGAACTAAGCTAAATATTTACAGCCAAGATATTGTAACATTCAAAATGTTTAAAATGTCAACTTTTTTGGTTAGTGCATGTAAATATCCATGTGATGGTGAGCATACAAGACTATACGTCCACAAATACCCCTACAAATAACTGCATCTATATTATATTCAACAAACAAACATCCATACACACCCACTTAAGGATGCTTGCATTTATTGCTGTTACAATTTTTTCAGTATTTGATGTTCTTTTGCCTTTCATCTTACCACAAATGGATCGTATAAGTAATTCTAACATGCGCAATTTCCCCAAAATGGCATTGCTATTGTAAATATAGTTCTAGATACATGGCTACAATTAATATTTTTAGATGGTTAATAGTATTATTAGAGCAGATTTTGGTAAATTTCGCAATGCTCACTTATCTGCACGTGCTCATATAGACAGTACCAAATATCTGTGCATGTCCAGATAGGTCACTAATTTCTAAACACCTAATTGGATGCAGTAATTCACCAGTGTCAGAACAAGCACAAAATTGTATCTACCACCTGTCTGTACACCTGATTTCAAATGCTCAGTCATCAGTATTCTGCATGCTTCCTTATGTTACCTACATCCATGCACATAACAAGGTTTATATCTAATACCACATCTAGCAAGTAACTAAACACAATAGAAATGACAGACTACACCAATGCTCACATGCCCCCACAGAAAAGCAAAGCTAACATACATCTGCTCACAATGTATTGAGTCAAATGAGCACCTCCCTGTGGCAGTACAGTGTTTGCCAAACACTGGCCACATTAGAGAAACTAGACTATCCAAACAAATTTATGCACAAACGCTCATTTTATTCAGGTCCATACAGAAATCTCATCACAGCAACTGAGCAAGCAATCATTCATGGACATGCTCAACTAGCAAGTTGCAACGTCCTCAGCTGAGATCTCTAGCACCATTCTTAGGCAGTTAGCAACTCTCTGCTCACAATGTGGAGATGTTGAAAACACCCATACTGAAATATGCAACCAAACCTTCAGCCACACAAAAAGTTCAAATGCTCACAGACATTTAGCTTTGTTGGTGTAGCAAAATATATTCAGTACTTGTGGAGGTTGTTGCCTAATATTCTTACCACAAATGGATATTATAGAATAGTAATGCATACTAATATATACTTTTTCTCCCTTGTGACATTGCTAGTAACATGAGTTTAGTTCTGAAAGATGGCTGCAGTTAGTATTTAGATTGTCAGCAGCTTTACTTGAGCAGAGTTTTTGAGAAATTTTGCAAGGCTGCCCATAGCGGTCATTTATGCTGTCATACTCGAGAATAAAGACATAAGTAAATAAAGTTTAATGCCAACCTTTATTACCAGTTTGTTGTGTCACCAGTGCAATCTTAATGTAAATTATTAGCAACAAATCAGAAGACACTTTTTAACAATTATAAACATATTCTCTTTCTATATTGTCGGCCCCGAGTTTCAAAATTCTCTCCCTTTATTAAAAAAGTCTTCACCCGCAGCACCATCCAGATCTAGGACGAGAATAACAGATCCATGAGAACTTCACCTCTCCAAGTTCCTCTCCATGTCACTCACCATTCTGACTTAGAATGAACACACAGAACAGTGCAGCACAGGAGCAAGCCTTTCAGCCTACCATGTCTGTGCTGATCATAAGGCCATTCTAAACTAACCCTAAATCATCTGCCTGTTATATTCCTCTATTCAGGTTCACGTGTCTGTCAAAATGTTGCTATCATACCTGCTTCTGCCACCTGCCCTGGAAGCACATTCCAGGCACCTGCCACTCTCTGCGTAAAATTAAACTTGCCTTACATATCTCCTTTAAATCTTTCCCACTCACTTTAAACCTATGCTTCTTAATTTTATATACTTCTACCACGTTGCCCCCTCAAGTCTCTGATGCCGACTGAAAACAATCCAATTTTGTCCGATCTCTCCTTATAACTACTACATTCCAATCCAGGCAACATCCTGGTAAACCTCTTTTAAAGTGTCTCCAAAGCCTCCACATCCTTCCTATACTGTGGCAACCAGACAAGCACACTATACTCCAAATATGGCCTTACGGAAGTTTTGTAAAGCTGCAACATGACTTGCCATCATTTACAGTCAATGTCCAGACTGAAGAAGGCAAGCATGCTGTACACAGATAACACCATGTGGAGCTGGAGGAACACAGCAGGCCAGACAGCATCAGAGGAGCAGGAAAGCTGACGTTTCGGGCCCCGACCCAAACCAAGACGTCAGCTTTCCAGCTCCTCTGATGATGTCTGGCCTGCTGTGTTCCTCCAGCTCCACACCGTGTTATCTCTGACTCCAGCATCAGCACTTCTTACTATCTCTAAGTATACTGTACACCTTCTCCACTGTGTTGCTTCTTTCAGTGAGCAATGGACTTCCACTGCAAGATCTTTCTGTACATCAATACTCCTAAGGGTCCTGCTATTTACGTATACTTTCCTCCTGCATTGGACCTCCCAAAATACATCACCTCTCACTGGTCTGGATTAATCTTCACGCCATTTCTTTGTCCAACTTTCTAAATAATCTATATCCTTTGACAACATTCCTCACTATCCACAACTCCACCAATTTGTGTTATCTGCAAACTTCCTAATCATACCAGGGACATTGTAATTTATACAAATGATTTGGATGAAAAACAGAGATCCTTGTAGAATACCACTGGTCACAAACCTCCAATCAGAAACACACCCCTCCAGCACCTCTGTTTTCTATGATCTTCTTTAATAATTTCCCTAAGTTTTCCTGGTGTCTTTCTTAAATAAAGGAACAACACTGGTTATTCTCCAGTCTTTTGGGACCTCACCTGTGGCTCAAAAAGGATACAAAGATGTCTGCAAGGCTCTAGCAATCTCCTCTCTTGCCTCCCTCAGCATCCTGATAGGATTCAATCAGAGCCAGGGCTCTATAAACAATGTTCTTCAAGATATCATCATCACCATCACCACCACCACCACCACTTCAACATCAACATACTCCTCCCTAATCCCGTCATCATCCATGTCTTTCTCTTTGGTGAATATCAATATGAAGTACTCATTAAAAAGGACCTTACCCACTTCCTCTGGCTCCATGCACAAATTCCTACATTAACCTCGTTTGAATTTGCCTTTTCCCTCGCTGTACTCTTGCTTATAATATACGTACAAAACACCCTAGGATTCTCCTTAATCCTGTTTGCCAATGACATTTCATGGTCCTTTTAGCCCTCCCAATTCCTTTAAGTTCTTTCCTGCTTCCCTTATATTCCTCAAGGGCCTTATCTGATTTCAGTTTCCTAAACCTTACATATGCTTCCTTTTACTTTTTGACTAACCTTTCAATATGTCTCATCATTCGAGGTTCCTTAATCTTGCTATCCTTATCTTTCATCCTTACAGGAACATGCTGATCCTGAAGTCTGATCAACTGGCCTTTAAAAGACTCCCATACGTCAGATGTAGATTTACCCTCAAACAGCTGCCCTAATTTATCTTCTACAATTCCTGCCTTATACTGTTGTAACTAGCCCACCCCCCCAATACCCCACTCAATTTAACACTTTCACTTGAGGACCAGTCTTATCCTTATCCATATCCATAACTATTTAAAAACTGCAGAATTATGATCACTGTTCCTAAAGTGCTCCCCCAGCGAAGCTTCAAATCACCTGGCCAGGCTCGTTCTCAAATACAAGATCTAGTATAAACCCTTCCCTAGTTGGACTATCTCCATGTTGTTTCAAGAAATCATCCTGCTTGCATCTAGCATATTCTTTCCCATCCAAGGCCCTCGAAATAAGGGAGTCCCAGTCAATGTTGGGGAAGTTAAAAGCATCCCACTATAACTCTGTTGTTTTTACATCTTTCCAGGATCTACTTACAGGTCCGTTCTTCTATCTCCTCCTGGCTATTGGGAGGTCGCGAATATAACCCAGGCCCAGCCAATAAAGCCCACATACTCAATTTAAAAAAAATTAATCAAGTCTTCAGTCACTTGACCTAATGTGACTCAGCATCAAACTGTATTTAATCACACTTTCTACTGAAATGCTTTAAGACGTTTCACTATATTCATTACTCTACAAAAAAAATCCCCAGCGTATATCAATATGCAAATAACAACACTTGCTGGCGAATCTCCTAGCCTTTGTTCATGGTAAGTTAAGGGCCTTTTTCTTATTTGTGCACATTGGCATTTGTTGCCTCTCCTCTTTTTCATCTTACGTCTCATAGCATTGCCTAATTTACCTCTTCCATTTTCAACTGCCCTATTACTTGACATACCTATTACTGTTAGCAATATTCGTTTTTGGTGAATTCCTTCTAAGTCCTGTTTCTGTCACATGGTCAACATGACCCAATGGTAAATCATATTGAAGTTGTGGAAAAAATGAATCTCTTTACAAGCAAAAGGTAATTCATGTTTTTGACATTTCACTTTCTTACTGTAAGAGACAACATTTTAATTTTTTTTGGAACTATAAACTGAAATGGAGGTTAGACTGCTGTAATTGGAATACCATGAAATTTATTTACAATTTGACAAACAAGTGGTCCATGTTGTTGAGCTGTGCCATATGTTGCTTTTTGGAAATAGAGGGGGAAGTATCAAGATTGGTCAACAGCAAGAATCTTTTGAGTGACGGATGCTTTGCCTGGCAATAGTTCTGAGTGTAACTCTCTGATGTTCAACCAAAGTTCTAAGCATTAACAGCAGCAAAGTATGAAAATATCCAGTCTATATACCACACCCTCACAAGACAGAAAAGTCCAAAAAGCTTAAAAGAATTCATACAAGAAAAGACCCAAGTTCACCTGATCAACCACTGATCTGAAGAATCATTACTCTACAAACAACAGTGTCTTAGCACTGAAAAATCAAAAGGACAGAGAAAAAGGTCCTTGCACCTTGTGAACCAGACTTTTGATCTTCAGAACGTTGTTTCCCCTGTTTATATTCTGTTTTATCCATTACATAGGTAATGAACTGCGTGGCTTTTGTCTGTCTTAATTGATTGTGTGTGTCTGTGTGGATATTATTTACGAATCTCATATTTTTACTGTTCTTAATTATTGGTGCAGTTTCCCAGTCAAGTTGTGACAAATGTTTGGGGGCTCCTCCTGGATATTTTGGACTAGAACAAAGCAAGGCAGGATGAGGAGGTGGTGGTGAAGGTGTGAAAAATAAAAATGACAGATACGAAGTTCGCCATACTAAAATAAGAATTAGAAGCATCTAAACCCTTCCTGCAGTTGGAAGAGATATCCCTGACAAATTTGCAAGATTCAAATAAACAAAAAAGAGCTGTCAGAACTGGAATTGCCTGCTAGAGCTAAGAAGACAAAGGATAATTGAAGTACTAGCACAGCACTTGGGCTTGGTAGAAATGACAGGACAGGTACTCCTAATAGCGAGGCATCAGAGTCAGTTATAGCTTGAACACAAGGGAAAAAATGAAACAGCTTGAGACAGAGTGGGAATTGAAAAGAATGGAAATGAAGTTGAAAGGAAACTTAAAAGACTTGAGCTCAAAGAGAAACAGCAAGAACAAACATTTCAGGAGAGCTATAAGAATAGTGGTTTAAAATTATATAACTAGAAATTGAAAAATATGGCACGAATGAAAAAATCCCAGACTTAAAACTGAAGTCCAGTAAGGAATTATTCGTGTTTGTTCCAAATTTGAGGAGAAGGATGAGGATGCATTTCTATATCATTTTATTAAATAGTGAGACAAAAGAAGTGGTCAAAGAAAAACTGGACACTACTCAGACAGAGCAGGTTGACAAGTAGAGCACATGCAATTTATGCTTCACTGTCAGAAGAGATTTCTATGAATTATAATGCAGTATAAAGGTGTTATTCTATGTACATGTGAGAAGTCCCTGAAAAATGCAGTCCAAAGTTTTGAAATTTAAGAAAGTAGCATGGACAAACTTACATTGAATTTGAAGCATGAAACAAAGTAATTGTGACAGGTAGACACGAGAAAGTGCTCTGACAGAAGAATTTATAAACAACTGGTTTTTAAGGGAGATAAAGGTGAAAATCAAAATCCTAAGTGTTTTCACTGCAATAAAGATGGACACTTTGATTGAGAATGCTTGAACTTGCATAGAAAGGCTATGGGGCTTACTGGAGTTCATGAGAATAAGTCTGAAAGAGGAGCTCAAAATGAAAATACCACAGGTCAAATTATAGCTTTGACAATAACCAGGGAACTGGAGGTAAAAACTGCTGAGAGTGCAGGTGAGGCAAATAAGGTAAATGAGACATACAAAGGGTTTGTGTCAAAAGGAAAGATAACCCCCTTTTTCCTTCAAATGATGCAACTAAACCCATAACTATACTAAGGGACACACAAGCTATTTTTCTAGAGAACGAGACAGTTTGCCTCCAGAGAGTTCACTAAAAAGTCAAGGCACTAATAAATGGACAATTGAGGAGTCCAGTTCGGTTCCGTTTTATAAAGTAAAATTAGAACTTGACTAGTCATTTGAAACAGTGGTAGTATGAGTTTTTAAGAAATTGTGGATGGATTCAACTTAGCTGCCCAGAAATGATTTGGCTGGAGTGAAAATTATACCTTCATTCAAAATCATGGCAAGTCCAAACGAGGTTAAAGAGATGTAACGGTTATAGGAACAATTTCCAGTTATTTTTCCATTACGCGTGGTATTGAATAAAGTCCATCATGAGAAGTCAAACTAATACCACAAACAGATGTAAGAGTAGCCAAAACTTTGGAGCAATACAATCAAACTTTCAAAACAATGATTATAATCTATTGTTATGCGTGTCCACAGGATTGAGACAAAGAGGTGGATTTCTTACACTCTGCTACCAGAGATTCTACAAATAGATCGACTGGGTTTTGTCCATTCAAAACTGATCGACAGTCACGAGCTAAGAGGTCCATTAAAATTAATTAAAGGTTTTTTTAGGCAAACAAATGAATCCTCAATGTGGGATTGCATGTTCATGTTTGAGACACTCAAAGAAGCATTTAAAAATTTCACAAGCAAAGATGGAAGAATCAGCAAAGTATTTAGTGTTATCTTTACAAGGTGAACCTCAAAGTGAGATCCAGTGGTCCAATAATGATAATTAGGATGGCTATTAACATAACTTATCTGGTAGATAATCAAGACTGCAGGAGGAAAATTCCATTATGTCACAAAGATGTTGAAACAATATCATCACAGAGAAGACAACAAGAAAGAGCAAATCTGTCAGGTAGTAAGAATAGTGGAGGTTGACATGGACAGCAAGAGTGAGGTAGCATGAGAGATAGATTATTCACAAAATGAACCTCCCACAAATCAACTTGCCAATACTGAAATATTGGAACGTGTTATATAACATTTTCGTACTTAGAGGAAAGTCAATGGGAAAGTCTAGGAAGGTTATTTAAAAAATTCAATAAAATTTGTGGGAATACACTTGGATGTATTACGTTAGCCAGACACAATGTGGCTGTGAGGGAATCAAACCCAATGAAATACCATCCTTACTGGTTAAGTCCAGGAAACCAAACTCAGGTAGAGACAGTAATTCAATGAATTCTAGAAAATCACCTGATTGAACCTAGCCAAAGCAGTTGAAGTTCACAGTGGTATGACTTTCAAACCAGAAATGTCTACTAGATTCAACACAGATTACAGAAAAGTACAACAACAAAAATGGATTCATATACAATTCCTTGGTTAGAAGATTGCATTGATAGGGTCAGCAAGGCTTCATTTCTTTTCTAAGATTGATCTATTGAAGAGATATTGGCAAATACCACTGACATCAAATATTTGGGAAATATTTGATATAACCTACTTGATGTAACAATGTGTAGTGGTGTCCTCTGGTTTAAGAATGCTCTAGATACATTCCAAAGTCTTATGACTCAAGTCATAGCTAAAGTGCCATACAGTGCAGCTTATTTAGACAATATTATAAATACAAATACCTAGGAAGATCATGTAAAACAACTAGAAGACCTATTTAAACAACTACAGTTAGCTGGCTTAGTAATTAATCTTGCCAACAGTACATCTGCAAAAGCAAGGGTAACTTACCCAAGTCATACTATATGGCAACAGCAAGTGTTAGCAAGAACAGCAAAAGTGAAGTCTCCAATAGAATTCCCTGTTCCTAAACTAAACAGGAAATCATGCGATTTTTAGCAATATGTGGATTTTATCTGAAAAGTGAGCATAACGTCAACTGAGAATAACAGATTGATTATGAAAACAGGCAACAATGGTACCGTCAGCAGATTGCCAAGCAGCCTTTGAGAAACTGAAACCAATTCTAATAAATGAACAGAGTTGGCTGCCATGACAGTATGAAATATTTTAAAATGGTAACTGAAGCTACTGACTTGCGGGTAGGCCCATTGTTATTGCATGATAAAGAATCAGGGATAGAGAAGCCAGTTCTGATGAAGTTTATTGATTTAACCGTTCAAATGTAAAACCTTCATATTGCTAGAAAAGATTGTATTATAACTGATGCATTATCAAGAATGTGAGTGTGTTGAAAGAGTTTAAGAATTTGGGAAGTAAATAAGAAAAAAATGTTGAAATATTGCATAAGGAATGGGGATGAATAACAAATTTCATTCTGTTATGATTTCCTTGTTATGAAACATCTAAATATGGAGTTTCATTGTGTTGAAGAGTGGCAAGAAGTATCAGACCACGTTTCTAGTTGTTTGGAATTATAAACTAAAACGGAAGTTAGATTTCGATAGCTGGACTACCAGGAAATTGGTTTACAACTTGAAAAACAAGTGTTACGTGTTGTTGAGGTTGCTTTTGGAAACAAGAAGAGGGAGAAATCAAGATTGAACAGCACCAGGACTGTTTTTGACCCCCTCCCCCCACCAAACGCCAAAACATCACCTGCGTCTCTGGATTAATAGTCAATGATAATACCACTAGGCCACTGCCTCCCCATAATTACTTTTGTTACTACTAATGCAACTTTGGTTTGGTTGCGTCTTGGGCAGCAGTCAGGCAAACCTGGCATAAAGTGCTCTCACCGTGATTTTTATATATTTTGTCACATCCTGTGCAGCAATGGGACAAGTTTATCAGTGCATTAAGTCGTGACAATAATTTGAAGTGAAATTACTTCAGATCCATTTAAACTCCTGGGTAAATTCATCAGATGTTATAACTTTTTATTATTAATTAATTGAAGACTGAAGACTAAGTAATGCTGCTTAAAACAGAGGAAAAACATACATGTAAACATGCATATACATATACAAGAAAGAACTTGAATTTATAAAGTATCAGTCATAAAGTTAGGGTGTCCCAGCGCCTTTCTTTATATCCAAGTAAATATCTTTGAGCTGGAGTCACCATTCATGTCAAGAATGCATGTCTCCGTTTTTTTGTACAGAAGTTGCAAAAGCACATATGTATGCATCAAAATAGACTGGCCAGTTACTTCAGTTCAGTTGGAGAGACCAAAACAGAATTGAGCCACAGAATGTGTAGCAGTGAGAGTACAACAGGTGCCTTCTTCGCTTCCATAATTTCCTCTATGCCAATACTGCATTTTCCAAGCATATGCCTTAAACAAATGCAAGGGATGAAATGGAATTAAATGAAATTAAAATGCTCAAAAAAATGTGCAAATGCTTTACTAGAAGCTTAAATATGTTTCCAAAGAGGCTTTGGCAGTTTGATGGGTTAGGAAAGTAACACAGGACAATTACATACTAGTGAAGTTTAGAACTTTAGGAACTTGGATAAAAATTTTACAAGAAAATGCTGGAAAAAGAATGACTGAATTTTGGGATTTGATCAAGAACTCTATCGGTATTAAAGAAGCAATGAGAAACAACTTCACCTTTGCGCATGCATACAGTTTGTTTCACTTTGCAGAGGAAAAAGAAAATTGACATTCTGGTCAAAATGGTCAGAGACTGAGGAAGACTTCTTCCCCCAGACCAGAGATTAAAGAATCAGTATTTGAAAGGACACCAGAGAAAATTTTGTTTTTTGTCCTGAAAACTGGATAAATTAACAAAAAACAGATGTATAATGAATTCATATTGAATACAAATTAGAGCCCAGACAACAAACATAAATAAATGTTTAAAATGATAAGATTATAAGTTTTGACATCTTTATTAGTTTCTAAGTGAATGTTACTTTTTTGTACATATTAATTTCTAATCTCAATTCAATCAGGATCTCACTTAGTACATATCGTTATTCATTTAACAATAAAAATGAATCACATCCATGGTCTACTTCCAAACTAGAGTTAAATTTCTTTTTCTTTCACCAAGGCAGTCTACAATTTCAAATCACTTAGCACATTTTTAGGTAGTGTCTCAATAAAAGTTCCTTATGCTATGATACTGATAAGTTTGAAAGCAGAAAATAGGAGAAAACAAATCTATTTGGTCTCTTTCCCCAGCGAACAAAATCCATTATTCTGAAGCTACTAGAAGGGCTTGCTCTGCTTTAGATTATAAACTGATTTCAATCAAAGTAGTTTTGGATTCTCTGTGCATGGATGGAAATTATTACCTAGCAGCTGTAAGTAGGCTTGCAGCTTTTCCAGCATCCCTAGAGTCTTACCGATAACCCGGGCCAGGTTGGGTATACCCCTGAGCGAATGGGAGACGATTCCGTGCATATGGATTGGACGCAGATGGTGGTGGTGTCACATTGCTCCCTGGGGAAGGTGTGAAACCCGACCTTGGCTGGTAAGCCCCTGGTTGAGTTGGACCTATACCAGGCTGGGAGGTAGGTGGCATTGTGTAGTTAGCAGGCTGAGAAGCTTGTGTTGTATAATTTTGTGGTGCATAGGAGCCCCCTTGGTACTGCTGAGCAGGCTGTGATGGTAATTGCTGGGCTTGAGTGGAGAATCCAGGTGCAGGAGCTTGGGGTGCTTGCTGATTGTAAGCTTGGAACTGCTGAGCTTGCTGTTGGGGGGATGGTTGTTGATTATAACCTAGAAGAGGAAGAAGAAATAGAAAAATAAGTGAATGTCACCATAACTCTACACCAACAGTACAAAAAGATTCACTGAGTACAATTCATAGGAGTAATTTTATTTATCTTGAACTTGCTGTTGGGGTTAAGCAAGGGCACTTGCTGCTGACCTTAATGCAAACCTTGCTGGGAGATCCAGCAACCCTTCTGGTGAAAATTTAAGTCTTAACAGCATGCAGTGGTACTACAATGAATTGCTACACCTCTTGGGAGAAATGCCTGAATGAAACAAGCTGCCAATCACATTGAAGGATTTTCATGGACATACAACTAGGAAACGAAGAAAATTAAAACAAAACCACTTTCAAGTCAATCTCACACTTACAGCAATTTCCTGCATAACCTTTTTCGAAATTAAAAGGGTGAACAGCAAATGTTGCTCATTTCGAGTTTACACCCTTCATCAGGACAGGGGAGGGGAAGGGAACTCGGAATTAAATGAGGGGGTGGAGGGGTGGGGGTAGGGCTGGGGTAAGGTAGGTGGGATGCTGATAGGTGGATGCAGGTAGGAGGTTGTAGAAATAGGTCATGGGAAGGGTGAGGTGAATAGGTGAGAAAGAAGAAGGCGGGGATGAGAGGGAGGGTTGGACATGGGATGAGGCCGGGAGTGGGGAGATTGTGAAACTGGTAAATTTGGGTTGCAAGCTCCCAAGGTGGAATAGGAGGTGTTGTTCCTCCAGTTCAAGTGTGGCATCATTGTGACACTGGAGGAGGCTCCAAGGCTTTCCATCTTTTTTCCTCACCTATCTGCCCCACCCTTCCCATGACCTATCTCCACAACCCCCTACTTGCATCTACCTATCGTCATCCTACCTATCTTCCCCTAGCCTCAACCCCTCCTTCCATTTCCGAGCTCCCTTCCCCTCCCCAGTTCTGAAGGGTGTAAACCCGAAGCGTTGACTCCCCTGCTCCTCCATACTGTGCTGACTCTGACTCCAGCATCTGCAGTTCATGCTGTCCCCGAATGCTGCTCATTAGCTGGTTTCAGTAAACTCTGCCAGTTTATCATAAGAATCAGTATCAAGTCTGGATGGCCTATGCTATGCAGTAAATTCCAGCTCAAACAAACAATCAGGAAAAATAGAATTTTCATTTTTACACTATTCTACCATAATGTGGTCTCAAAAGCTCTTCAAATTAATTAGCATTTGCAATTACATGTATCATACTTTAGGAAAAATGTCAAGATAATAGAGAGAGTGTACAGAGGAGATTTATTGGGATGATGAAGCATTGAAAACTTAAGTCACGTGGAGTGATTGAAGTAGCTGAAATTGCATTCCTTAAGTAAAGGTAATTGGTAGACTTAATAGATGTATTCAAATGAGGGACACAAATACTGCAGAACAAACCCTATTCTGTAGTAAATTCACCAGTAATTAGAGATTACCAGAGAAGTAAGCAGGTCATTTTTGTTTAGGGATAAGTTTGTTCAGATCTGGAAAATGCTACCTGAAAAGGGGTATGGAAGCAGATCCTTTAGAATTTGCAGAAGTCATTGGATACGCATTTGGAGGATCAACTGCAGGGTTGTAGGGGAAAAAAATAACTGGGCAATATGGCTAAATTAGGTAGCTCCTTCCAAGAACTGGCACAGACAATGCAAGCAAAATGACTTCTTGTTATGTTGAGATTCCATAATATTCCTTTGAAATTCAGTGAGCATTATGTAGGCTGAAAGGATTTTTGAACGACAGGTCAAGGTGACCCAATGACCTAGGAAAAAGTTGCCTCAATGCTATATTCTATACTTAAGAGTTCAATGTGTCAAAGTTTGAATTCAACCAGTGTTTCCAATGTAATATTCCAACATTATGAGGGCTATTTCCCCCCTCCCCACTTTGTACTCATTTTTCACCACATTTTTTGCACTGTAATCTTCTCCATATGTGCTCAACTAATAGCAAGTGCATAGGTGCAAGACATGTCTGGTTCTGAAGGTTTAGCAGGAACCCAGAAAACAAATGCAAGGTTTGCAAGTACTGCTGGCTTGTAAAAATGTCTTCTTTATGTTAAGCTAGTTTCATGAGCCAACAAGTAGAGCAAAAAGCCTTCACCGCCTCCATAAGCGCGCTCACAATTCCAAGCGGTGATTTCCCCTCATCCATCTTGATCATTGAACAATGAGGCATCCAAGAAACATGGAGGATTAAAAGAAAACTATGTACACATAGGACAGCCAAGACAAGTGCAAGTGCAAGAATCCACTTACATAGAGGACGAGCCAGTTAAGGAGGTAAAGTAACAAATGTGATCAAGTGTTTTCTTCTCAGACCAAGTTTAAATTTCAAAATTAACATTTTTATTTATTGAATTAATATGTTACTTTTAAAGAAAAGGATATATGAAGATTTTCACATATAAAGAATTCAGTCAACTACAGATTCAAGAGTTCAATTCATTGCCTAAACGGTATAATGTAAAAGAGCTCAGGTTTACAGAAATAAATGGTATTATTGAGTTACAGCAATATTTTGGTGCTGCCATTAAAGAAACAAAGTATAAGTACAGCAAAGCACACTTTTCAGTCATTTCATCACCGTGGACCTGAAAACAGAAGTAGAACATAGAAACTCAAAAACAAAGGTCGGTAAGTTCTACATGCCCCTAAGTTACTCCATGTTTCTGCTGATATTTGTCAAAGCTTTCATAACGAATGACAAATTCAGGATTATTAAACTTGCCTCATCTATGTTGACAGATTACATGAATGCACTAATTTCACTGAATGTCACATGTTTAGTGGATGATCATTATAATTAAAATATATTGTATTTACTTACCAACCTCATCCATCAATCCAAAAAAGGTGGATATCTAGTAGTTGATAGGTACAAATTGCAGCTATTGCTTACAGTGTGTTATTCAATCCCATATTAAATCGGAGTTGAAATTTTCCAGCACTAGATCTCTACTTTCAGCAGATCAGTGCAGCTTAGAGTTCGGACTTCAGCACATCTACTTTGGCATTGTTCATTGTTTATACAGCAATAAGCACAACAGCAGAATAATCATTCGCAAGTAATGGCGGCATGGTGGCTCTGTGGTTAGCATTGCTGCCTCACAGCGCCAGGAACCCAGGTTCAATTCCACCCTTGGGCGACTGTCTGTGTGGAGTTTGCACATTCTCCCCATGTCTGCATGGGTTTTCTCCGGGTGCTCCAGTTTCCTCCCACAGTCCAAAGATGTGGGGACTAGGTGGATTGGCCATGCTAAATATAGTGTTGAGGGATGTGTAGATCAGGTGGGTTATAGGGGGATGGGTCTGGGTGGGATACTCGGAGGGTTGGTGTGGACTTGTTGGACCAAAAGGGCCTGTTTCCACATTGTAGGCATTCTATGATCTATGATAATGCATTTGCATATATTACATATTTCATATGATGACAGGAGAACACCAGCATGTAATGCAAGATATAAATAATGGCTGTGCATAAATCAGTAAATATGGTTACTTTGCTAAATCTAAAGAGGAAATTCAGACCAATACATGGACTGAGCCTCCATTACCAAGTCCAGTCATCAAAATGGGCTTTAAAAATGCGCAGGAGTTAAAATAAAAAGTTATGGATTGTTTTGCATTAGTTCTTAACATCTAGTCAGGTTCTAATATATTTGACCACATCTCACCTGCAGTATGTCACAGTTTAAATGCATCAGCGATAGTATTTTCCAAACATGAAAAGGTCAAAATGGTTGGCTCCTTAACAGCTGTTAGAGCTTGCATACAAATAGAAATCTCAAAGGAATGAATTTTCTATGACTTCCTTACAACTTAACATTGAAATACCCTTCTCCCCAGGCTTTCCCTTCACCATACCCTTGTCCCTCTCAGATTTCAAATAATTTGTTTCTTTTAATCAAAGCTATTTGAACAGAAATAAGCTCCAGGTTACAAATTCATCTCTTGTCGTGAAGACATGCCTAAACTGGTCTTAACTTGCTGATGTGTGTTCAAAATGGCCAAATTAATAATCTCTTCCAAGTCCTGATAAAAGAAGGAAGTTTGATGCCATAGCAAAATCTAAACTTAATATTTTTCAAAGGAATATTTAAAAACGCTTATTCTGTTCTCATATTTTCTAAAATGGGCACACTGTCTACTGTGGAAAGATTAATTTTGTGATGAAAATAACCAACATTTATCATACAACAAAAGTATATGGAATGACAATTCTCCTTCAATATATTATATGCTCCAAAAAATCATCTGAAAATATTTTCACACTGCAACTATTTTGGTTTTAATATGGCTCCAAGGGTTTTCTTTATAGCTGGTTCACTAGTACCTCAGACTTTCAGCTTGGTACTTATAATTATCATACATAACTTGCTGGTTGTCCATCCTGTTTAAAATATGGCAATGCTATTACCCAGGTATGATAGATATAGGAGAAATGTGTGTTTGGCAGGTCATGCCTATATTCTGAGTAAAATCTTGGAGTAATAGCATACTTATATAGTGCTATCAACATAGTAAAATGCCCCATAGTGTCTCAGACAAAACTGATAAGTCAAAGAATTAAAAGCTTAGTCAAAGATGCAGATTTTAAGCAGCACATTAAAAGGAGGAAAAAGCAAGTGGTTTAAGGAGAGAATTCTGGAGATTATGGCCTAGGTAGCTAAGGGCACACCAGCCAAATGCAAGGCGAATGAAATGAGAAATGGAATAGAAATAAGTTTTATTCTTTTTATCATAATAGGTCAGCATTTAATGCCCATCCCGAATTATAAGTCTTATAGTGATGCAACAATAGCTCACCAGATTTATCCACAAGATGTAAAGGTCCTCTAAAAGGTGGAAGTTGATGAAAATGGACCAACATTTTCTGGAGTATATAATAATGAGAAATGACTTCTTTGAATTATTAAAGATTATAAGAGGGCTTGACAGGATAGACAGAATTTGTTTCTTCTGGCTGGGGATCGAGAATACAGGAGTACATTCTCTCAGGATAAGGATCCACATTCTGCGGATCTAGAGTCACATGTAGCCTGGACCAGGGAAGTAAAGCAGCTTCCTTCCCTAAAAGACATTCATGAATCAGATTGGGTTTTTCTGACAATCAACAATGGACATCTTCAGACTCTTAATTCCATATTTTGTTTTATTCAATTCAAATTCCAACATCTGCCATGGCAGGATTTGAATGAGGGTCCCCAGAACATTACGTGAGTCTCTGCATTAACAGTTCTGTGATAATGCCACTAGGCCATTGCCTTTCCCAAAGTGGATAAGTACTTTTCCACCTCAAAAGAACATTTCTTTGAATGTAGTATCACAAATTCTTACCCTGCCTGAGCTTATGCACTGCTGAAATTCTCCCTGCAACCAAACAGACTATTTTTATTCTTTTGTGGCTGGCCTCTCATATTCCACAAACATGAGTTCATCCAAAAGTCAGCTTCCTATAATATAAAATGCATCAAACCTCATTTATCCTTCAACCATGCTCACTGACCTACACTGGCTTCAGGCGCACTATGCTTTCCATTTTAAAATTCTCATTCTTATGCTTAATTTCTCCATGGCTGCATCCTTCCCAACCTCTAACCTACTCCAGTCCTACAAATCACCCAGAATACTCTGTTCAGTTCAGATCTGCTGTATCCCCTCAGTATTCCTGAACAAACTTACAACAATCTATCTGAAAATTTTTGCATTTCCTTTTGAAACTTCTCCTCCACTTTTAGGTGCTCGTTATATAACCTATTTCCCAAAGCTCTTAGCTATCATCCATAAGACATATGCTTATATCTCAATACTACATATTTTAGAGTTTGGATTTTGAACAAATGGCGCATAGCTTTTAGACTGTATTTATGGGGGGGTTTAATGATTAACATTTTAGTATTTCTAGAGTCATTTTTTAAAAAAAATAGTATGAGGAAGAGTGTTCCTGGAGTGCTAATTAAGTTTTATTCTCTCAGGCTTTTAGGCGTTGCTGGCTGGACAACATTGATTGCCTGACGTGCTGTAGGATCACTCTCGATGCTATCAGGAAGGAATTCCAGAATTAGCAACATTGAAGGAACAGTAATATATTTCCAAGTCAGGATGGTAAGTGGTTGTAAGGGAAACTTTCAGGTAGTTGGTAGTGCTTCCATACATCTGCTGCCCTGGTCCTTCTATATGGAAGTAGTCATGGGTTTGAAAGGTGCTGTCTCAGGATCTCTGGAGAATTTCTTCAGTGCATCTTGTAGATGGTATATAGTGCTGCAACAGAGCATCGATGGTGGAAGGAATGGATGTTTGTGGTGTCAATTAAGCGGGCTATTTTGTCCTAGATGATTTCGAGCTCCTTGAGCATTATTGGTATTGCACCATCCGGGCAAGAGGGGAGTATTCCATCAAACTCTGACTTGTGCCTTGTAGATGATGAACAGGCTCTGGGGAGTCAGGGGGTGAGAGTCACCGCAGTACTCCTAGCCACTGCGTTTATGTGGCAAATCCAGTTGAGTTTCTAGTCAACGGTAACCTCCAAAATGTTGACAGAGAGGGATTCAGTGATGGTAACACCATTAAATTTCAAGCAATGGTGGATATATTGTCTCTTATTCATAATGGTCATTGCCTGGCATTTATGTGGTGTTAATGTTCAAGCAATGGTGGATATATTGTCTCTTATTCATAATGGTCATTGCCTGGCATTTATGTGGTGTTAATGTTACTTGCCACTTGTCAGCCCAAGCCTGGATATTGTCCAAATATTGCGACATCTGAATATGGACTTTTACATATCTGAATAGTTGCAAATGGTGTTGAACATTTGTGTAATCATCAGTGAACATCCCCACTGCTGAGTTGAAGGAGGAAGAAGGTCATTGACGAAGCAGTTCAAGACAGTTGGACCTTGGACACTACCCTGAGGAACTCCTACAATGAGATGACTGACCTCCAACAACCACAACCATCTTCCTATGTGCCAGGTATGACTCCAAATAGCACAGGGTTTACCACCTGATATCCAGTAAGTCCAGTTTTACAGGGCTCATTGACGTCATGCTCAGTCGAATGCGACCTTGATGTTAAGGGCCATTACTCTCATCTTACTTCTGGAATTCAGCTCATTTGTCTATGTTTGATTCAAGGCTGTAATGAGGTCAGAAGCTGAGTGGCCTTGGTGGAACCCGAACGGGGCATCAATGAGCAGATTATTGCTGAGGTGTTGCTTGATAATACTGTTAACGACGTCTTCCATCACTTTACTGATGATCAAGAGTAGACTAAAGGGGCAGTAACTGGCTGGGTTGAATCTGTCCTGCTTGTTGTGTAGGACACACCTGGGCAATTTTCAACATTGTCAGGTAGATGACAGTGTTGTAACTGTACTAGAAGAGCTTGGCTAGTGGAGCTGCACGTTCTGGAGCACAAATCTTCAGTACAATTGCCGGAATATTGTCAGGGCCCATAGCCTTTGCAATATTCATTGCCTCCAACCGTTTCTCGATATCGCGTGGAGTGTATTGAATTGGCTGAAGACTGGTATCTGTAATGCTGGGAAATACTGGAGAAGGCCGAAATAGATCACCCACTTGGCACTTCTGAAGATTGCTGTGAATGCTTCAGCCTTACTTTTTGCACTAGGGTGTTGGGCTTTTCTATCATTTGCTTGTATTTGGAACTTTGTTTGTATTGGGAGTTTTACATGCAGACAGAATAAACATTGAAGAACATTAAGCTAATTTCAGTTGAAAAAAAAAATCAGGGATTGATTTTTGTTTTGCTTAGGGGAAAGACTGATAGCGTGGTTTCATTCTGGTTGAAATTTGGTGTGTGAAATAGTCCTGCTAGAGTAGACAGTTCAGAAAAGTTAGAAATAGGTTACCTCAGTGTAGCAGGTTTTGGTTTTAAAGTTTCAGACCAGAAGTGGTTGGTTAGAACACTGAAGGGATTATTTAAAGTTGAAAAAGACTACACTCACTTGTATGAATACTCAAGGAAGACACTATCATACTTTCAAGACTGGGTATTGAAATAAACAGTTAAGGTACATCTATAGTGGTGACAGAGAAGGGAATTCTGTTTGGTGTTGGAGTACTGTAAAGATTTGCTGTTGGGCTCAATGGAATATTGTATTTTACCATGTGTTTTCACATCTTTCAAATTATATGTAAATAGCTTGGTGTATTCTATTTTATCTTTTCTTTTGCACAATAAACTTCTTTTTTAGTGTTAAACCTAAATCTGCAGCACTGCTTGCCTATGTTTCAGTGAGAGACAACATCATTAAATTAAAAATACAAAGCACCATCTATCAAGCCAGGCTTCAATCCGGGATCTGACTTGTCCATTAATAATATCAGCCATGATTATAACTATCTAATAACTGGCTCCTCGATTTGTGCTGATTTTTGTCAGTTAGCTCAGTTGGCTGGAGGCCAGTTTGCAATGCAGCGCGATGCTAAAAGCATGGGTTCAACTCCCATACCAGCTGAGGTTACCATGAAGGTCCCATATTCTCAACCTCACCTGAGGCTGTGACCCTTATGTTAAAAGCACCACTAACTGTCTCTCCCTAAAGACAGAGTAGGCTTGTTGTCCTGTGGGGCTGTGGCGACTTCACTTATTTACATTCCCAGGATGTTTTATCAAGTTAAAAGGTGCCATCTGTGTGTTGTCATTTTATAGCCTTGCACATGAATAAGAAGTTCCCTTTCAACTGCCTCCTTTCAAAGGCTGAAAAGACTAATTTTCTTCAGTGTTTCCTCATAGCTCAACATCTATGACTGCAGATTTTTGATAATGCAAAACTATTTTCTGAAATCTAAATGATCAGAACTGAATGGTACAAAATGTGTTCTGAGCAGAGCATTACACAAGTTAAGCACACTTTCCAATTCTCAGGTTTAGCAACATAGTTCATTTTCCTTGCCTTTTGATTGCTAGATTAACAGATTAAATGATAAATCCAGCACTAGAATGTTTTCAACATCCCCCTCAACTCTTCAAACAGGACACAATAATTATACCTCATTTTGTCACCATGTGCATTTACACTTGTCTACAATAAATTTGAGCTGCATTGCGTGCCACCCTTTATGCAGTTAGAAAGTAGCAAACCCTTAAGGAAAGAGACTTACTCCATGATGGCGTCCATTCTCTGCAACATGAAGAGTTGTGAAGTTACCACACAACCAATTATGATTAAAACAGTACTCGAAAAATTATTTGGGTGGGGTTAAGGTTACACTTGTTACTGCTAGTAGTATCAGCATAATCCTGGCAGATTTGGTTCAGCATGCTTTTTTTGGAATTGTCATTTTCAACAAATTTAAATCAATTCAATCATGTGGATAACTGGATATCCTGGCTTTAAATGCTTAACAGTGGTTTTAATGATGAATCTATTTAGATCTTTATTTGAAAAAAAGCACAGGTTCATCACTACAAAAACATCAAGGATTGTCTTTTGATAGAAAGAGAAAGAGAAAAGAAATGATTCAGCTCAAATTACACTGGTCCGCTGCAAAGTTCCACAGAAAGCTTTATTACAAAAGCTCCCCATAGATACTTTCAAAGAATTTAGAATGGAAACCAACGTTAACGACTTTCTCCTTTTATTGCCGTGTCCTCACCTGGGTACTGCAGTCCGTACTGTGCCTGGGTCGGTGGTTGTTGCTGTTGAGGTGCATATCCTGGTTGCTGGTACTGCTGATACATTTGACCTATTTAATAAAAACCAAGTAATTGAAATTAAACACCATCATCATAAAGTTAAAATTGAGATTAGGACAAGCATACATTTGCATTGTGACTTTAACTTTAAGTGACTTTTGCTAAGTACACTACCAACTTGAAAATGAACAGCACACTCACACAGAGTTCAACCTGCCTTCAGAGTGAAGGAGTTGAGACGTGATGGACATGGCAATCTGGCACTATTTCAGTAGATCCTGTGTGGATTCTAACTTCAGTTGGCTAGTTTACAAGAGGTTTACTTCTGGCAGCTGCTTTCCCTAATTCAATTTCAGAACAAATGCGCTTTTCTGTTTTAAAACATTATAGCTGCTGGAAAATGTTCTGCACAGATCCTTTTCTTAAATGGCAAAATTCAAGTCTCCTACAGGCAAAATGTAATTGGTATCAATGGGTTCTGCCTGGCTGAAAGCTGAACTGAGTTACTATTTTCAAATCAATATCTATAGGGCAAAGAGATGCCTTAAATACAATAAAAATAGGTCTTGCAAATCTGTGTCAACATACAACCAATCTACCCAAGTCCTTCTCATATTTTTACACGAAAATTCACAACCTTCAATGCTTATTTGTCTAACAAACTGAAGAACCATCCACCCCTGCACCTTGTTATCTCGGATTCTCCAACATCTGCAGTTCCTACTATCTCTGAAGAACAGAATTGCTCAGAAATCTCAAATTAAGTGGTTGAATTGCAGCATTCTACTCAATAGTATGTAGAAGATACATCAAAATCTGGTCACTGCCATGAAAATGCTGAATTTCTCTTTCCTGCCGTAAGGTCCCGGCACATCAATTTTTGGTTGTAACAAACCAGACAACACCTATGGCAGGTAGTTAGAACATCACAGGGGAGAAACCACTTTGATTTCCTCCTCTCCAATCTTCTTGTCGCAGACACACTTATTCATCACACTTTTGATAGATGTGGGGACGAAATGATACTGAGGATAGTCTGCACTGTGTTATATGGCACTAACATGTTGAACGGGATTCAGAACATTGCAAGCAGCTTAAAACAGCAGTGGAATCACATTATCTTCAGGCCAATGTACTGTATCTAGCTCAATGAGGAGGTTAAGACAGCATGCCAGAGGCACAATCATAGAATTCCCTAGAGTGTGGAGAGGCGCCATTTGGCCCATCAAGTCCACACTGGCCCTCTAAAGAGCATCCCACCCAGACCCAACTCCCCATCCTATCCCTGTAATGCTGCATTTATCTTGGCCAATCCACCTAACCTGCACATCTTTGGACTGTGGGAGGAAACTGGAACACCCGAATGTTACTTAACATTCAGCCACATTAAATTCCATTCTCTACCAGTTATAGTTCACTTAATTTGTTCAGATTTTCTGAAAGCTCTCTCTCATAGTTCAATGATCTAGTCATGCATTGGTTTCAAAAACATAATTTACATCACCAGAAGTTAGCAATTGTTTAAGGAAATCCAGGCACTTGAAGTAGTTTTAGATGTACAGCAAACTTTGTTTTAACTGGCACCTTATGTGCTGGCACTCTCGATAAACTGGCAAAAATTACACACCTCAAATACCGGAGTTTATTGTATTATTCTGGCCAATTATTATAGATTTTTAAAATTTATTTACCTCAATGTAAATACACTTGTAGCTCAATCAAATGGCTACATGCAATAGCTAACTGAATTTTGAGTCAATTTCTCCTCAAATATCGCGATCCACCGCAATGTCTGAGTAGTCAGTTGAGGATGCCAGTGAGAAGGTTCTCTGCCAGTAAGTTTTATTTAAGGCAAAGTTGCATTATTACTTAAGTGACTTATGCTGCAAATAAAGTATAACAATTACGTGCATACCCCCTACATTACATTTCTATTACTTAGTGCATGTTTTTACATTGATTATGCGGACCTCTCAATTACTTGGAATGTTTGATTAACCAGCACACTCCTGGTCCCATAGGTGCTGGTTAATAAAAGGTTTGCTATCTTAAGTGCATGCATGCAAGACGTGTTTCTATTAAAATTATGAAACATGGTTAAAATGGTATTCTCGCAGCTACATTTTTGGCTAGTCAGCAATTAGTAACTGGACAATATTGTCATAAAGGCATAGATTTCTCTCATACAAGTCAGACACTAGGAAGAAGAAAATATCTCCAGCATTGTCAGAACAAAGGTGCTCACCAGCATCCAAAATCTTTCCTAACAAGAAACAGTCATCCATCTGTCATCAAGTGTTCACTAGTTCCATTCAAATTTCCCTACTGAAATAGCCAGCACTGTTTCCACACACTCGGCACATAAATATTTCCAAAAAGAAATTTTTAAATAAACCAAGAGTTACCAAATTTTTCCTCTAATTGTCAGATTTAATTCATATATCATACGGAAAACTTGGAAAATAAGGTCTATCATGAGAATTCTAATAAGTATTTGGGGATTGATAACAAAATGGTTCAATAAGTTATTAACAACAAATTCAGATGTTTGAGTAAAACAGAAGTTGACGGCCAAATTAGATAGCTATGAAACTAGAAAACAACACACCTTTAGTTTTCTATTACTTTGAACGAACTCAGAAATAAATTAAAAAGGCTGAAAAAGATCAAAAAGAGAAAGAGATCATCATGATTTCTACTGGATTTGAGCAAAGCAATTAAAACACCAAGTTTAAATTGTAAGTAGAGTAGCAACTGCCAGTTTCCAGTCTCTTCTACAGTACTTGATTTTATTCTCTGTGGCTTTCTCTGTTGATTCACTTCTGAACATACACACTTCTTAGTAATACTGCATAGCCTTTAAGCTTTTATTTATGTATTTATTCTCCTGTTTCTCTAAGGCCAGTTATTCTGATTTACTTTTTACCCCTCAGCTCTGATCTTTTGATGCTCAGAAACAAAATGTTGGCTAGCCATTTCTAGAGGATCACAATGGGCAGTTTTGATCTTCATATCACAAGGAGAATATTAAAGAACTAGGGAAAATACAGAAAAAAAAAGTTACAAGGCTTTTACCAGATTGATATGTTGAAACTGTCAGGTAAGATAGAGCATGTTGCACCTGGAGAAGCTTTCTCAACTTGTGGATGAGTCCCGGAACAAGGACCTTATTAATTAATTAGCCCATGAATGAATTAAATTTTAAAAATTGGGAGAAATTCTTTGAACAGAATGGTCAACACGTGGATCCCACTTATGTGTAGTAGTTAAAGCAGGTATCAGTTTTACTTTTAGGGTAAGACTTGAATCATACCCAAGGGAGAAGGGAAAAGGGGGTCCTAAAGGCAGAACAGACAAAAGCTTATTAGAGTGCAAGAACATATTGCATGTTTACAAGATTCAACTTACTTAAAGAAAAGGTTTCCATAATACCTGCTTATTCTCAAGATTAAAAATATGTAAGCAACTTGAATCACACTGCACCAAGCTTATTTTGGAATGTTGGGAGTGAAAATTAGGTAGGTTGTCCCAAGAAACACCAAGTCCAGCAATGATTGAAATTCCTTTGTATGTAGAATGTAGGCTGTGGAAGAAATGTAGTATTGTTAAAAGATGACAAGATAAAAACGATTGATTTGCTGAGGAATAGAGGAGTGTATTTTCTATGATGAGACTTCAGGGTTCAGCATTTCTGCATCATCCCATATCCAGTGAACGGTATGATGCTTCAAAAAGAAGTCTGAAATAAACAGGCCTTTGTCCTAACAGAGGATAACCAGATTTAAATCTAAAAATGCAAGTTTTTGAAGAGAGAACATGCATTTGTATAGTATTCTATATGTTCCCAGACAACTCAAATAGTTTCACAACCATTTAGGCAGTTCTAACATGCAGCCACTTTGTAACATAAAGAAATGCTGAAATCAAACCGAGTCTACACAAGATCTTAAAAATAACAGCATGAGAAATTAGGAGGTGCTGCTTTCTGTGATGTTAGTTGAGGACCTGTCAAGACAAAACTCCCTGACTATATTTTTCAAATGGAACTTTTCTTTCCGGTGTACCAGAAGGTTGGACAGGGCTCCAACCAAATAAGACACATCCAACAGTGCAATACTACCTCAGTACCATACAGAAGCACAAATCTAGATAAGGTGTGTGTCTCTGCAAAAGGTCTTGAACATAACCATTTGATTCAAAGGTGAGAGTTTACCACTGACACATTACTGAGTCCAAAACTTATTTTAATGATTACTGGAATAACATTAATTTTGCATAGTGGAGATGTGCTCTAATGAGTTTCATTTAAACTTAGAGTCATACAGCTGTACAGCATGGAAACAGGCCTTTCGGTCCAACTCATCCATTCAGACCAGATATCCTAAATTCGTCTGGTGCCATTTGGCAGCATTTGTACAATATCCCTCTAAACTCTTCCTATTCATATATCCAGATGAATGGGAAGCGTTTAGAAGGATATGGGCCAAATGCTGGCAAATGGGACTAGATGAATTTAGGCTATTCGGTCAGCATAGACGAGTTGGACCAAAAGGCCTGTTTCCATTCTGTACAGCTCTATGGCTCTAAATATAAATCAGGAAATTCATTAGAGCACATCTCCACTATGCAAAATTAATGTCATTCCAGCAATCATTAAAATAAGCTTTGGTCTCAGTGATACACTCTCACCTTTGAGTCAAAGGGTTATGTTCAAGGGTTATGTTGCAGAGCCACAATTTCTACTGTGGTTGATGTGTTATTTAAATTAAGATACATTTCAGTACAAATCGTATTCTGTCCAACTAATTCATCTGGATTGAATTTATGCTGAGTGGTTCATCTATCTCTTCACAAGACTTCATAAATATTACGACCACACTACTAGAAATTAAACAGCAATAGGCACTGTTTATTAGGTCTGCACTGAACACTACAACATTGGTACTTGGCTCCTTTGAGGGTTTAAGACTCTCAAAGCACAATAAGATAATTTTACAAGTCATAGTCTAAACATGGGGGCTGGATAGCTCCATTGACTAGATGGCTAGTG